CCCCCAGCGAATTAATTTATGGTGCCCATTGATGTGCCACAATGCATTAGGCCGCTTAACATGATACTTACGCCGACGTTTGACCCGTCGGTCGCGCAACACCTGACCTAATCTGTCAACTCTGCGGAGCGATTCTACCACCCGTCGATGCTGCACTCGCAGTCCATGCCTGTGGAGAAAACCAATGATGTACCTTATACCTGAATCAGTCGATGCTACACTCACAGTCCATGCCTGCGGAGAAAACCAATGATGCACCTTATACCTGAATCAGGCCGCTTTTTCTTGAACTCGGTGATGAGAAGATCAAGGTCGATGTTAGTAAGGTTCGAGTATTTTCTTTCAACTCCATAGCACTTCATATAACGTCGTAATGTGTTCCTGTGGACTCCGAGCATTTCAGAAAGCTCAGTAAGTTTGATTTGTCGGGAAGTCGAGACTGCTTCAGTGAGGAATCCAACATCGATCATTTTTTTGGACGCCCTGGACGCCCTGTGTGCAACAAGGCCACTGGTTCCGGAAACACGACATTTTCATCCATGCTGTTGCACAATCAATGACGCAAAATACATATCAGAGATGGATTACCAATTCTGCATATTGTACTGAAATGACGACAAAAGCACGAAGAGATCTCCCAGCAAATGTGCTGTATGAGAGAGCCAATCTTGCATCTCATGTCCTTGAGGGTCGCGTGCGAGGGCTTCAAGCAATGGGATAGCATCCCCTGATACAGCATCTATATGAAATGTGAGCTGGATTGGGTCGGCATCTTCTTGACTAAGAATACGATGGGCGCGTCGGTAAATATCTGACAAAGTATCGTGGGCAGTGCGAATATTTGCAGACCACGGATTCTGATTTAGCATGTGAGACAGAAATTGGGGCAAAGCAGTTGGTAGCGCAGGCATCACAATAGATTGACTTGAATATGGTGTAGCCACTGTAGCGTTTGATGACCATTGATGACCAAAACGACATAAGCAAAGTGTGCGCGTGAGATGAGGCAAACAACAGTCGCAAACATACGGTTCTAATTATTTCATAGCTGATCTTTGTTCTTGTACATCCTTTCGAATCGTCAATATGTCAAAGGCAACTCGACACCCTATTTACTACTTTCATGCGTCAAGCCATATCTTCCAGGTGTGTTTTACTAATTTATTCTTCATTTTGGACTCACAACTTGAAATATTTTGTGCCGGCAGGTTGAGAACATACTGTACAAGCTCTGCAGTTCAATTTTATCTTCGGCTTCCAACGTCTTTCGTGACATGTTTGCTGCTACACAGAACAGCGGTCAAATAGAGCTGGACGGCATGAGCGATGATAAGCCCATTCACCTCGAAGGAATATCCTGGGACGCCTTTGAGTTGTTTCTCGAGCTTACCTTCGGAAGGTATGTTGATGCCCTTATTCCTCTATGTAGCCACTTGACAATCTGTACTAGGATACGTGCTGGCTCATATACACTTGACGAGCTTACAAAATTCCTCCATTTCTGCGACATGTACCAATGTTGTCATGCGCGAGAATTTATTGTTTCCCGTGTGTTTGCGGCACGTTTCCGCTTCCACCCAGCTCAACTAATAAACCTGGCTATCAAATATCACGTCCGTTCACTTTTCCCATTTGCTTTTCAGCAACTCGCAGAAACTCCCATTACCGAGATCACCCATGCACACCGGGAGCTGATGGGCAACGAGGTCTTTCTAAATGTGGTTTATGTTCAAGCTGCCCTTGATCACCATCGTCGAATTGTGGCTGTGGAGGAACCAAGAATATTGATGCACTCGAATGATTGCAATGACCCAGCTGGTTGCAGCGAGGATTGGCACGCTACATGGTGGAATGGTATGGGCCGTTTTCTTCTCGATGGTAGGAACCCTCAACCATACGGCGATGCCGTCAAACGCTTCAAGGATATGTCGTTTGGCCGTGTCAGCGAGGGCTGTAAAGATCTTATGTTCAAAATTCTCGATGAGGGTGCAGCATTCCGTCACGCAGAACACTTTATTACCGAGGCCTGCCAATTTCTGTTAGAGAAACTGGTATTTGAGCCCTAACATCTTGCTAGTAGCTACTATTGTGTACTGGTTTACAAGGACTTTGGCATGGTCTCGTCATATTTGTAGCAGCTTGAAGGACTCAGCGTCAATACATGTACTGTAGAATATATGTCCATCACTCACAATGAACGGAAGCCGGAATAGAGACTCATTCCTAAGCGTGATATAGTGGCTTGGCCTGCTAGCTGTAGAAACAATCAGCTGATACAAAGACAACGCGCAGATTTGATTAAGAAAATTGGGAGTGGGAAACGCGCACCGCGCAATTTTTGACGAAAACGCACACCGCGCAAGGTGCGGAACGCGCAAATAATAAATGTGCAGGTGTTACACCATACAAAAACGCACAGTACACGCACCTGTGCAGCTTAGAGCAAGACAATCCTTCCACCAAAGCCCGCCTCAACCGTGTTCAACAACATCAACCTTCAGTGAAATGCCGCAGCTCATTACAAGCACCACACCTAGAGTTTAAATGTCATGAGATGCCCATAACGCAATCTCCGTTTTGCCCCATACTACTAGACGATGTAGTATGGTCACTGGCTCAGACGAGAAGATGCTTCGTCTGTAGGACTTGAAGCTTGAAGACAAGCATCGTTTTGAAGAAGATGAAGGGGCATCGAAGTGACTATTAATATTGGCACGATATGGGCAAATAATAGCAAGTGGTGATACAGTTGACTATGCCATAATGTATATGCCCTTAGTGTATATTTTCAATACTGTATCGAGTTTTCAATGGTCCCACTGTGGGACAGTGAGAAAATCGATGCATAATGTATATTGTATAATGTATTGACCTCGCATGCCTATTATACATTATCAGACGGCACTTTTGGTGGTGGGGACCATTGTCAGTGCCAGCTATTGTCCACACATCATATGAAAACCCCATGTACGACATCGTGCCAACCAAGAAATCCACAAACCACATTTCCATAATGACTGCTGAGAAGTATTCCTGCACGCCAGCTTCCTCCCACTCGGCTTACAGCCCTCGAAAGCGAACTAAAATCTTCTCTTCAAGAATTGAAGGCTCGGAATCGCATTTTTGGTGAACCACTATCCTTAGACGAGCTGCTCGAGCCGGCTGAGGAAAAACAAATCGGGGATTCCCTTGGGTTCGACTTGAATGGTGGGGACATGGCCATTGTTGTTGCAGTCAGTCGAGAGATCGCTAAGAAACAGGGTGAGGTGATTGAAGCTGATTCTGATGATGACTCAGAAGAAAATCATGATGCAGCCCCAGAGGTTTCCCATGTAGAAGCACTAGCGTTATGTCAGCGGCTCGAAGGAGCATGCCTTCAGCAATGAGCATGGACATTCTCAGGACTCAACACACACACTTGATTTGTTAAAGCAAATCCGTCGTTTCCGTGCCCAATTACAATGCGAGGAGCTACTCCATGCGAGGCAGATGACGTTAGACTCGTTTTTTAAGTAGATATGTACTCTAGCACCTTAGATTTTCGACGCTGTTGAGCGGTGTCACATGTGTTCGTCACATTTAGTCACAATGTGTGACATCGGTCCTTCTGTATAACTTTGATAATGTATAGGTGTGAGGTGGGTCCCGACATTATACGTTATGGGATAGTCAACTGTACCAACGGAGACAACATCGTTTGGCATGGAGAAACCGTCATCACAGTAGCTCGATTGAGGTGCAGGCCCGGGGATTCCAGGAAAGCATTGAAATTTGACACGCCACTCAAACTCTCTAACGGAGTCAGCTTGTATACGAGAACCAATCTTCCAATTTTACTCCCAGCTCGTACAATCTAGGGTACGGACGATAAGTCATCCAACTGTTATTAACCTATGTTAAAAATCAAGTAGGATGCGTAGGGTTATTAACAAGCATGTTATTAACATGTTATTAACAGTCACGTGACCTAAAATTTGAAAATTTCACTACAGCTACTACCAAAATTCGTCCCACTCGTTGTCCATGCCTTCTAGGTCAGCATCATCCTCCGTAGCATCACCTTGAGTGCTACACAGGCCGTTGATAGGACTTTCCTCGTGTTCATCAGACAAGGCCTTGGTGACAATTAGTGCGTGAAGGTTTGCATCTGCTTCAATGTCGAAGGCTGAATCCTCCGCCGGTTTAGCCGCTAGTGTCTCATCGAGCCAAGTGCCTTCTTCGTCTTCAAGGATTTCTTCCTGCTCATCTGTGCCCACAGATAGATAGCTGCCAGTGGTTTCGTGGCTTCGACGAGCAGCTGATTGTTTGGGTGAGGAAATGATGGAGTCAAGATCACAGAATGAAATGTCTGGATGCCGTCGTTCAACCATTTTCTAAGGGGCATGAGTTATCAATACAGGCCACTGAATAAGACACTGACCTTTGGATCATACATATGCCATTGTCGAATCTGAGTCATGTCCACCAACGTCCGGACATGTTGACGGTTCCTGGCTGGTGTATTCATCCTCGTGAATACCGACATTGTTCGTTCCTCGGGCACAGATGAGGGCTTTATTGAATAAATTTTTTCTGCGATACACTGGAGATAAAGCTTGAGTTATGAGTAGTCAGGACTGGCTGAAACTCACAGCAAGTATGGAGCCTTCAGGTATCTTCGTCAAGTGAGTCCAGTATGAGAGGACGTCCTGACCAGCATCCATCATTGTGTCAAAAGGGTATTGTCCTTTCACATAGCACTCGAACTGGCGAACGAAAGCTTCACGAACATCAGCAGCTGTTTGTCCTTTGAGTGTGGGGTTGTGCTGGGACTCATTAGGTTGATGTTTGGTGAGGAAGGCTTCCGCCTGTCGCCAGTTGCTTTGGACGTCCAAGAGAGTATAGGCTTGGTGCCAAAACGTCAGAATCCAGAATGGAAAAGGTTGTTCGATGTCGGCATGGGCATAGATAATAGACCGGCTACCACCCGATATTGCATGTTGCACCCCTTCTAGGAGCTTGTGCAGAACCGCAAGCTGGGGAAGCGGCTGCGTGCGGAGATAATCGAGATATAAGCTGTCCTCAGGTGGGGAGTCAGTGCTAAAGTATTTGCACAATGGCGGAGCAGTGGTAATTGAAGCTGATGGGAGTGAGAATTGAAGGAATGACGAGACAGACAGATTCTTGTCTGGGAGAATAATAGATTGCACTGATACAGGAATAATGAGAATATCATCTGAGGCTTTTGTGTCGACGATGTCAGCCATTTCGAGTGCTCGACTGGTGCAAGAGGGAGGGAAAACAAGTTGAAAACTTCATTGCGAGACACTCGAGTCCCATGTCAGACAACAGCTTGCTTCTCTGCAAGATTTGCGTTGCAAACTTCTAAGTCAATGATCTGCGAGGAACAGCAGAAGGTCGGAAGGCGACTCACAAAGACTATGGGGGTCAATAGACTTATTAGCACCATGTCACCCCCCCACGGCCGTGTGCCTGTTATTAACATGTTAATAACATGTTAATAACACACCTTTCTTAGCAGTGTTATTAACAACCCACTTTTCGTCCGTACCCTAGTACAATCATGATAATGGAACATTTTCCACGCCTACCACAAAAACCTGACCCTCGTACTACATAGTATCAATCAGTACGGTATGTGACAAAAGTCAGGTATTTCTTTTGTGGCACAGTAAGTCGCCGGCTATTGACCCCCACCTGTTACTATCCTACTGCGATGACTATCCCTTAAATACTTTCTAAAGTTCTACAAGCGGCCTGACATCCGATACTGTCAGTGACTCAGTATCTGTCTCTTTTTTTTGCCCGCCGTTCGATATGTCGTCGAACCAGAATGTCGGTCCTGTAATTAATGTGTTACTGACAATTTTGACTAGTTGAGGCAGGCTCGTGTCACGAAGATAAGCGCGTCATGAACTACATACCTGCCACGAGTCAAAGTCAGGGGTCCTATTGTGACTGCCGGCGCCGTAATTCCCAGCAATAGCGCAAATTGTCAGCAGCCCACTGTTGCAAATGCTGGTCGATATCCGATACTCTATGCGAATGCTCACTTCAGCCATCCTATCTCAAGATGGTGCAGTAGACACCTCCCGATCGCGTTTCTTGACGAGTCCTACTCAACAGGAAATCTACCATCGATCAATCTAGCAATTGAACACAAGTTCTCGTGCCCGACTGTCCGAACTTTACCGACTTACGATGTTGATAGCACTGTTTTCGCTGGGACAGGAGTTTTCTTGTTGCTCTCTTCCAGACTCAACATCCGCACCTTCTGCAGCAAACTCTGAGCCCCATTTCTCTCGTAGCGAAATATTCAAACATATTGAAAAGGACTGAGAGCGCGATGTCAGCGCCTTCTAGAACAATAGTGAGTCCAAGGCCCAAGGCTCAGCCTCGTCTTGGCCCTGTGGTTTCTTCTGGCTTCACCGAAGTAGCGGCGTATACTCAGACGATCTGTTCGCAGTCGTACACATCCATGTGGGACGGCTGATTATGACATTGTCGTCACCCCTGAGTTGACAGTTGAAATGCGGAATGGGCCTCGAGTTGCTGAATTATCATTATCTGCTTTGTCATGGAAATGAGACCTGCTTTCATTGCAGTTTGTTCCACACCCCTGGCCCAGAGGTGTCATACACTGCCCCGTGAATGAAATGACTGACTATCATCTGATTATGTAGCCTGGATTGCACGCAGGCCTGGGGGCGCACGGTGCGATGTTTTCTTCTGAGGGCGCACGATGGCCGCATCTTGGGCCTCGGACTGGATCATGGGGAGGTTTGTGGCCAGACACAGCGAAGACTCCACTTATTTCATTTTCTCCTGGCAGAGAACCATTCATACCCGCACTATACTCCCGACAGGGGTTTTCCTGAAGGTTTAAGAGCAAGAGTCATTGACAGCCATCACATCAACGACCTTCTGCAAAGGGGAGTCCCAGTGAGTAGCGCATCCACGATTCATCCATCCATTTTCCTGGGTTGTAGCAACTATGTCTGAATAATCAGCCATTTTGAGTCAGCAGCTGCCAATGGCACCTCAGACCTTCTGCCTACCAACTTCGTCGGGACCGCTACGGTCGCCGTGCAGAATGAGGACGGGAAATTTCGCATTTACTTTCAGAACAAAGACTACTAGATCTACGAAATGTCGTTGAACGACTCAAATAGCACAGTCATACCCTCCTCAAACTCACCACTAACGGCATGCCCACTGCTCGCATCAACACGCACATCGCAGCGGTGGCGTGCAAGGACTTGCGAGAGGTACGAGCCTTTGCGGCCAGTCGTTCCGTGTCTCGTAATCTCATTCTCACTTCGCCCTAACAGATCCGCGTGTATTACATCACTGCGACTAGTAGGCTGCATGAGATTTGCCACACTCAGGGCAAATGTTGGGTCAAAGGTGCGACCTTGGGCACCGCAGCCGAGAACAGCTGCTGCTTGTACGCTCAAGGGCGATTCACCAAGGATGTCTCGATCAGGGTCGGGTTCCAGTGTTCCGCTGCTCCACAGACTATCACAGCAGCTTGTTATCATGAGCACCAGGGATGGAAGAATCGTGTCTTATAAATTGGCAGAGAATCTTAGCCTCGTATGCCAAGGAAAAAAGTGTATGTGATCAGGTTACCAGTTTTCTATCGGTGTAGAGTTGAATGTTGCACGTTATATGTAGGCTTGCAATGTTACGTGTTGTCGAAGACGTTATGATGTGAGCAAGGTATCGTATTGAAATCTTAAGAATCCTAGCAGAGGAATCCAGGACTAGGAAAGTATTTTGGGGGGCAACAAGGGTGCGCGTTTGCACGGTGTGCTCCAGGCCTAGTCACATTCTTCGATACTCATACACCGCGTCAATGTCTAATTACTTGCGAGAATTTGTCCTCTGCGTCTTCTAGAATTCTTCGTAACACTTCGCTCCGAGGGCTAATCCTGGATCCATAAGAAAAGTAAGACCTGCAGTTGTCAACAGCAGCCTGACATGCAGTAGCCAGCTCTGTCTTACCCGCGGTATAGGCACTAACCTATACATCTGAACAGCATCAGACCACATATATGCGTCAGGCGAGTAATAATGTGTCGTAAAACAAGGCAAGACTACCTGCATCTGAGAGTTATGTAGAGAATGAACTCACGACATAGACTTAAACTTGCGATGACTGAATTACGACGCATAGCTACGGGACAGATGAGTTCCATTCAATCACGCAGTCCAGTCATGCTCACTAATCTGCGAGTACAAATGCGCCAGACATGAATACCTTGGAAACGTTAGTCCCGCAACCGCAATGAAGAGGGGGTGGCTAGGTTATCCAATGTACTGCCGGTCTTGCTGTCTAGGCGTTGATGAACATCCTAATTGGCAGGATTACCGCGACACAAGGGAGATAAAAACGGACTTCCTGACGTTTTTGAGCAACACCTTTAGCACTGTTTTAGAAAAGTAGACACGGAGCCTACGTTGAAACACTGACCTGAAAAGTTAATGTCAGCTGGACCATCAGATTGCAACTGACAACACGGCCACCTTGAATGTCGTGATACTCACCTGATTTTTCGGTCGTCCAAGGATTGGATCCATCCATCGCATGATTGTCATTGATTGATAACATTCCCGAATACTCGGAGCAACAGTCGGTGAATAACTGAACGAGGCTGGTATAGCTTCGGCTGCGGTGACAGCTCATCATGGTTAGTAGAATGTAGATCATTAATGGCCATATTGAACCACTACTTCTATGACGGAGAATTCCGATGGGGCTGGGCTTCGGTGACTAAGGGGAGCCAACGTGTCCCAGTCGAATGATTCTCGAATCTACTGCTTTGAGTGCAGTGTTCTTCTCTATATGAGTGGGACCTGGGTAACGCATGTCTGGTTGGGAAATAGTTTAGATAGTTTCCGGAGACAGTGAGCTGATAAGAGTGCTGATCATGATTATAAACGGAGGAAGATGGAGAGATATCATGCATGGTGGCTAAGTACTGGCGTACACCCGGCTGTCTGCAGACGAACATTGCTCCTCCTGTTGGGTATCTCGTCTCCCCCCCCCACCTCTTAACATCACTTTCAGCAGTTATCCTTCACAGTTACTGTAGCCGGACAAGACTGATACCCATCTAAAATCTTGCCGTTCTTCTGATGCCATCGCTAGCATGTCAACCGAGAACAATAAGCTGCACGATATCTGTAAAGCACTTACGGTCCAATACCGACAGCCCATTGATAAGTCGTCGCCAATCAACTTGGCATTGTGGTAACTGCCGACCTATCAGTTACTGTGTTCAAGATGTGTGGGTGCGACGCACATGCATAATGTGACATCCTTGTTTAGGACGGAGGTGTCGTCTAGGTACGAGGTACTACCGTCGATCTGCAAAGTGGCTGGGCACTGTATACACGCATTGGCGCCAACGAGGAAGCTTAGCAGCGCAAATATGATGGTGCGGGAAGTAAACATGATGGAGTTTGTGGAAGGGAATGAGGCAAAGTCAGAGTAGCAGACAGGTTTATAGGCTGAAACTTCCAGTGGGAACGTAAAGACGTTGCTCGCTTAGCTGAGATGCCCTACGTACTTTGGGCGAAACCGGTTGCATGATAATCTGAACGTCGACATCATAAGAAGTTGGCGTGGCAAGTAGTCAAACGGAAGTGCGCGGCCCGATGGTGCGAAATTCAAATGAATCTCCATTTCCTGGGCGACCTTAAGGGGCTTCGCGTTGCTCGTGAGATATGTGCACGTTCATCGCACGTTGTGACTTCCTAAACAACACTCTCCGGAATATGTAAATCCTTGAATCGATGAAGCTCGGCGCGGCTGCACCATATATAGATGCCAAAACTCCTGCGCAACATTTGAGTTTTGCTCTTCCGCAGAAGGTTCGTGGACGTGGTCAACAAGGTGGATCTTCGTAGAGTACGAATGTTCATGGACAGGTGTTAAATATAACGGTTTGACCTGTTTATAACATTGTTAGACAGTCGTTCCATAATTGAGCCTGTTGGAAATTTTGCATGATATGGAGGGCCGTCTCCGCCCCTCGGACAACTTCATAGCTGCAACACTGAGGCCTGGCTACCGTCACGGAAGGCATGGGCAGGATCGTAAATAAGGCCGATGTCGATCGCTTTCTGCCGAGGATATGGGGAGGCAAGGGGTACCAGGCTGAAGATGGCTATCGCTTGGGTGTGGCCACCAAGACCTCGGAGTAGGATGGATGGCATACTAGTAGAGGCCAGGAGGGTTGTATCGGAAGCCAAAGTAGGCTCGCGATAACGAGAGTATGGAATCTGTATGACAAAAAATAATTACCTTATCACTGTATCAAAACGAGTGGGAAATTGGACCGACTTTCAGGAAGTTCAGATGTACCAGGGTTTAACAGTTGCTCAGGGTCTCCTTAGCGTTCTCACTTACATAGTTTAACGATTGTCAGTTAGCGACATGGATTTATAGACGTTGGCAACGAAACTCACCGAGTAAAGTAAAATCACAGGTAAGAGGAACATCAGACAAAAAGTTGACAGTAGATGTTGCATTGGTAAATACAGCTGAGGGCTCGCAAAGCTTTTATTACGGTAAGAGCTCGCCGAGGTTGAAAAGTGATGAGCGCATTGCACCGCTAAGTAGGATTCCAATGGGGACGGATTTGGGAGAGGTAGCAGATGAGAAGGACCGAAACCAGTTGCTGGAGTTGCCGAAGGTGATGAATGAATTGCGCGACGAGAAGACGCCCTCGAAAGATATGGCCACAAAGTGTGAAAAATACGCGTCTCTGAAGGTGGAAAGTCCTCCGTTGCAGAACTAGTGTGGGAAGCGAGAGGCGAGACATTTCAGCTGCAATGTACATCTAATGTACACGCACCTCAGGAGTCGAAGAGATATCTGGAGCGATAGCACCGTGAGAGATCGTGAGCTACATGGTACATGGATCTCAGTTTCGTGAGAGATGTGCAAGCGACGATGCAATATCGGCTCGACCTGGTCGGTTGCGACACCGGCACCGTAGGGAAAGTCCTCAACCCTGCAGCAATATGGTCACGTTGGCAATAAGTGCAGTCAAGATACAGCGACACCGGTCACAATGCGATCATACCCATCGTCGTTTTCCACGGTTTCCGAATCAGCCTCGTAAGTGATGACGGGTCAAAGAATGTGAGTCGGATTCAGTTGAAGGTCGTAGCCAAGGCCCGAGGTACTTTGTAGTCTCCCCAGAGACCAACCGGAGGGAGATAGTCGTTCCTTCGCAGTAAAGGGAAACTCCAGACTGCTTCAATCATGGGTCATTAATACCATCATGTATGTTGACGCACAATGCATTTCTCGATGACATATTCGCAGCTGCTGCTCACATTATCACAGAACTACGTGACAGCGCCATACGGTATTGCCAAGTAATTTCAATGGTGGTAAATTCTTCGGATGCTAGGGCGCGCATGGTGGGGTCGAGATCTTTTATGAGAGGTGGTGTTTCTTCGAGGGACTACTATGGTAGAATTGAGCCAGGACCCACGGTGATGGTATGAGAGATCACAAACGTGACGAGCAGAAGGCCATGCTTCATGGAGGGACTTTGATTATTTGAGTTGACGTGCGCGTGCAATATCTTCTGAAGATAACATATCATCGGACTGACATCGGGTATATACCAAGTTTATGCTTTAGATCACAGTTTGCTAGCAGTTCATCCCTAATTTCGATGTGCGACCTAGAGGATGCGGCACCATCTTGTTCGATTTGGCGAATGACATGGAAGGTGAAAGGATGGACGGGTGGTTGAAAAGACAAGCCGGTGAGGTTTTATTGGCTTATGATAGCAGCAGAGAAGGCAGAACACATTGGAGAGTCGTGAAGGAGGCCCGAGGTTTCTGGTCATCACTGAAATTCACTCAGCTCGATATGATAATACTTACAGCAGTTTGCGAAAGTAATGGCTCTGACTAAAATTTTCACGTGGGTCTGACCAAAAAGGAAATCGTGCCCTTCGACGCCAACAGAGCTAGAAATCTCATTAGTATTGTCAGTTTCGCAACCAATGGTCAACCGGCGAATCAGCAAAGACCTGAAAGAATGTGCACTTCGTGTGTGGGATCACGGATGGGAGTTGGAAGATATCTGTGAAGCTCCCGGTGCCTCGCGGGGAAGCTGTTTTCGCTGGCGACGGATATTCGAAGAACATGGCGCTGTTGAGAAGCTCCTTCACCACTCATTGGACGCACTCGTACTATTACACGGGCACTCTTGACAGCTATTCAAGACCTTTTTGCAGAGGAATCAGACTTGTACCTCGATGAAGTATGCACATGGCTTGCACAAGTTGCATTCAAGCACAATATTATTATCAGTCCTTCTGCGCTCTCTCACAATCTCAAACAAGCTGGTCTGATGCGAAAAGTTCTACAAAAGCTTGCTATCGCAGTTTTGCCCATATGGTGACGGTCTATGCGTTGGTATTGTTTTGCAGCCAGAAAACACAACGAATGATCATGGTCACGAAACGAGCATGAAGTAGAAATGAAGTCAAAAAAAACTTGCGGGTACGTACAGGTAGTAGTGGTACGAAGCAAGAAAGACAAGCTACAAAACTTACTAAGTCACCGGAGAGTAGACCTCCGAATTCTACGTACATTCTCGTGCCTCAATCTTATGTAGAACATAAGTTCTGATGACAAGTCCCTTCGTCTGTGGGACTTGAGCTTGGAGACGGATACTCATGAGTCACCACCTGAAGTTGCATCACTGATAGGAACCCAATAGGTTGAGAAAGGACGGATTGGAGCTGGCAAATTGGTTTCCGAGCTGATCAAAGTGCCACCCTTCTAAATCTATGACTTAACTCTCACGTGATCAGTCGCGATGTGTGTCCGAGTACTTATCAGAAACACAATATAGCTCTGAGGCCCAGACATGGCAGTCTGACCCAGGATGACTTGATGAGGTTGATTTATTGCCATGACATTTGATAGGATGGTTTTTGGGACGATTCTAGTAAGTACTGGGGGTATTCTAATAGGGGTTGGGAAGATGCGACTGACCAAGGCGAGATGTGATTATGTATTTGAGATTGCTCGTAACAGATAGCGACCTAAGTACTGGCATACACCCAACTGCCTGCAGGCGAACATTGCTCCTCCTGTTGGGTGTCTCGTCTCCCCCACCTCTTCACGTCACGTTCAGCAGGTTGCTGTAAACGGACAAGGCGGCCCATCTACCAGTATAAGGCGGCCACTCTCCTGATGCGCTAGCATGTCAACCGAAAACCATGAACTGCACAATATCCACAAGGCACTTACTGTGTTATACGCACACTCCACTGATCTCAATGCGGTACTGTAACTGCTAACTTATCAGTGACTTTGTTCAATGAAGACGTGTGGGTGTGGCGCACGAGCAATATGTGAACTTTTTGGATGGGAAGGTCCTCTGTAGTTCCATGGGACTACCGTCGATCATGATTGTGGTTGGGCATTTTACACACGCATTGGCGCCAGCGAGGAAGCTGAGCAGCGTAAACAGGATACAGCAGGAAATAAACATGATGCAGTTTGTGCAAGGGAATGAGGCGAAGTCATAGTAGCAGGCAGGTGTTTATAGGCTGAAGCTTCCAGTGTGAACGTAAAGGCGTGGCACGGATGTCCCTATTTTAGGCGAAAACAATTGAGTCCAAAACACAGGATAAGTTACGCAGACTGAGAAGAACTGTGAATGTTATGAGAAGTTGATGTGGCAAATGCTCAAAGGGAGATGTACGGCACGATGGGGTCGTGGGGCACGAATGAATCTCCGGTTCCTAGGCGGCCTTGGCTTCGCATTACTTGTCCTGAGGTATGGGCGCGTTCATCAGACGTTGTGACTTCCCAAACAACACTCTGCGTAATATGACCATCCTCGATGAAGCTCCGCACGGCCGCCATAGATATCGAACCTCCTGCACAACATTTGAGTTTTGAGTTTTGGTCTTCCACAGAAGGCCACTGGTTAACAACACGGAAGGCATGAACAGGATCATAAAGAATGCTAACGTGGATCGCGGACGTGCAGGGTCTTTCTGCTGAGGATATGGGGTGGAAAGAAGTACCAGGCTGAAGAATGGCTATCGCTCGGGTGTGGTTACCAGGACCTCGGCCTGACCCAAAATGAGCCTTCAGTGTGCCGGCCCGGCTTAGCCTGAAAGCCGCGGCTTTGGACGTGTACAACAGGCCGGTGAATAACCTTAGCAAGTACTGGGGAATTCTAATAGGGGATGCAACTAAGTATTTGGCAATTCTCGTACAGTGATCGAAGTACTGTCGTACAACCGGCTGTCTGCAGATAAACATTGCTCCTCCTGGGTATCTCGTCTCCCCCACCTCTTCACAGCACATTCAGCAGTGTGCCTTCACAGGTACTGTAGCCGGACAATGCCCAAGCTTTTTTGTCAACTTGCCGGTGGCCTGGTATGATCGCTAGCATGTCAACCGAGAACAATGAGCTACACAATATCCAGAAAGCACTTACGGTCTCATACACACACTTCTCCACTGGTGAGCTGCTATTCGGACCATCGAGGTAACTGCCAGCCTATCAATTACTTTGTTCAATGAAGACGTGTGGGTACGACGCACAAGCACGATGTGGTTCGGCCTGCTGGGATGTTCTGTGGCAACAGCTTCATGGAACCACCATCCCACCCGACTGTGGGTGGGCACTGTGGACACGCATTGGCGCCAGCGAGGAAGATTAGCAGCGAAAAACTGATGTAACGGGAAGTAAGCATGATGGAGTTTCTGGGAGGGAATGAGGCAAAACCATAGTAGCAGGCAGGTGTTTATAGGCTGAAACTTCCTGTGTGAACGTATTGAGAGGCGTTGCTCGGATGCACTACTTTTGGCGAAAACAGTTGAGCCAAAATGCATGATAATCTCCGCAGACTCGAGAAGAACTGTGAACCTCATGAGAAGATGTGGCAAGTGCTGAAAGGGAGACGTAAAGCACGATGGGGTCGCGGGGCACTAATGAATCTCCGGTTCCTGGGAGGCCTTGGCTTCGCTGCGTTGCTCGTCAGATGTGCATGTTCATCAGGGCCCATTTCCTTGGTGCTTAAAGCGACGGGGTTAATATTGGCCCAGCCACATTCTGCTCCGTCAGTCAGTCCTTCCTACCCCGCTCTTGAAATTGAATGAGAACGAGGTTTGGCACTGCTCGATATGAGCACGGAAAGGCACTCATGCGGTGCCATAATTTTTAGTGCCACTGGCACGTGATATTGTAGGATACGTTGAGAGTGTCAAGTACAGTACTATTAGCCCCACTCAATTCCATTTTATTTCGCCCATTTTATTTTTTCGTGAACGAGTATCTATTGCTGTGTGAACAAGCAAGTGAGTAAAAAATAAAATGATATATTTGTGTTTGTTCAACACTCGTCATCGCGGAGTTTCAACAATGCGAGTGCGGGGATGCTACTCGAAATCTCCAGGTATAATCGTCATAGGTCACGCGTCATGGCGCGTTTACGACGTCTCGGACGCCGGCCACTGAAGCACTATCAGTCTACAGCTAAACAGCTTGAGGTCCTCGCCATTGCACAACTCGCCACAGCAGAAGATGACGACGACGAACTTCTCGGCCTTGTTCTTGCAGGCCTCGCAGCAGACTATAGACGGAAATCGCGAAGCAAGAAATACGGCATGCGTGGAGAATACAACCAACCGAAGTCTAAGGACTTCTTTGATATTCTACTTGGACAGGCTAGTGAATGGCAGTTCAAAGCCTGGTTTCGGTAACGAAAATTTTCACTTATGTGTTCTACATTTTCAACAACTAACTAACAACTAATAGAATGCACAGAGAATCATTCTGGCATCTCCACAACTTGATATGTGGTGACCCGATTTTCGTTAGCACCAGCAACCGTCCTCAGCGCCCCGTTTATTACCAACTGGCTACATTCTTGTGCCATTTGGGTGCTGAGAGTGGCCTCAAAACTGCGGGCATGATGTCCATCACAGAGGGTTCAGTCTATATCTATTGTTATCGAGTTTGTCAGGCAATTCGAAATATTCGAAGTGCTCATCTAGCTTGGCTGGGAGAGCAACGGAGGCAGTTTCTCTCCGCTGAAATGGCGGGCTGGGGTTTTCCTGGGTGTATTGGCATTGCTGATGGCAGTTATATCCAACTCGAAAACAAACCAACAGAGAATGGGTTCGCATATTGGTGTCGCAAGAAGTTTTATGCAGTACGTCTCTGCACTGTTTCTTAACACTGTTGAATAGTTGAATGATCTCAAATGTTAGATTATTGTACAGGCAACTTGTGATCATCGGGCAATTTTTACATCTTACGACTTTGGACGGCCAGGCTTGGTTCAAGATAGCCGGGTGTTCAAAAATTCTCACCTGTGGAGGCACAAAGTAGACTACTTTCAACAACATGAATATATTCTTGTTGACAAAGGTACATATTCCAGATACTTATGATATGCTAATCTGAGTTTTTGTAGGCTATCCTTTGACGATGTACTCGATACATCCTTTCAACGAATTCGATCTCACCAATGATCTGGACGAGGCGAGACGGCGGCGAGACTGGAACAGGAAGTTATCCTCCCTCCGTATCTTTGTTGAACATGCCTTCGGTCACTTGAAGGGTCGTTTTCCACTCCTCCGTGGTATGACAGGATTTGACTTACCAGATATCTTCCAAATGGTCGAAGCTGCAATGATCCTTCATAATGTCTTGGAGGAATTTGGTGATGACCCAACAACAATCAAGGGTTTTAATGGTATGGAGGATAAAAATGTGAATGATGTCCAAGGCGAAGGTCCAGTCCAGATGGCAGGGGTGAATGCTAATGAGGATGATTTATACCGTCTAGGTCTTCTACGACGAAAAAATCTTGTAGACTACTCTATGGACTAAGCTTTCTTCTCTGTCTCCTCTGCAGTCAGTCGCTCTGCCATTCTTTCCCCGCAAGCTCGTATCAGAGGGTTAGGATGATTCAAAAATTCACTAGCCTGTTGCCACTCCTCTTGTTGTGCCTTTCTTTGTGCCTCTTCTCGCTTCGCCCGAATATCAGCCTGACGTTGCTCATACTCCTCCTGTTCGCGTTTCTCATGCTTTAATGTGACCTCCATGTTGAGTTTTGCAACCTGCAAATTTGTTTCATCGACTTTCTCCTGACGTTTATGGCGTTCGCCCATAGTACCCATCATTTCACGAAGGAGTCCAGTGGTATCGGAAAAGTCGTTTGCCTCAAGTGATATCGACTTACGTACACGTTTTTTCAGTGGAGTTTCATCGTCGGAGATAGAGACACTGGAGTTGATATCATGGCTGCGAACTACCATGCTATCATTCCGAGCACTGCTAAAATATCAGAGTGTATCTTAGAATAAATGACTATTACTCACACAGCATCAATGGTTTTGAAAAGTTCACTAGCTTCGAACTCGTCAAGGACTTTCTTCGATATTTTCTTCTTAGATGTATGTTTCCGCTTTGTCCCATCAAGTGCAATATCATCCTCAACACTCTCGCCTTCAACCTCATCTCCGTCATCATCTTCATCCCCGTCACCTCCACCAGTGTGCTCCTGCCGCTCCCGCACAGCCTTATACTTTGGCCAAGCTTGGTTGTGCCAAAAGTTACGGATTTGTGCGTGATCGAGACAGCCCTTCATCAAGACACATGCAATCTACACTCGTATATGTAAGTGAGAACATACTAACACAAAAAATCAGGCTCACATATGTAAACGTTGTTGTCTGCGTGAGCTTGAATGTCGGCCAAACCTCTGGAGAGGTAATGTACTTCACAGCCTTCAGTTTATCTTTGTCAGAAAATACTCTCGCTTCCAGCTTCACAGGTGTCCCGGCAACTTTTGCAGGTGTAGCTCTGAGTCCATTGGCTTCAAGCTTTAGATCAGCCCGGCTTAGCTGGCTCTCTGCGAGCTTCGAGATCTCATCATCTGAATTTCCCGAGGTACGTCTATTTCCTTCACCCGATTTGCTTCCCATGCCTCTGACTACCTTTGGTTTTGGGACGGGGAGGGACTCGGGGACACTCTTTGAGGCTCTCGGCTTCGGAGTCACTCGTGTCCGTCCACGTCGTGCAGGAATTTTCACAGGTGTCCGTGCAGTGCTCTCAGCTGCAGGAAAGTCCCAATGAGGTTGGTGGCTCGGTGTGGTTTGAATTTGCAATGGAACAATGTTGTAGCCATCCGGGCGCGTTTTTCGAGGGGACTGACGAAGACCAGAGGCTGGATCAATGTAGAAATGAGGTTGGTGAGCAGGTGTGCTGGGGCAGGGAATCTGGTGAGTGTTGGCATGCTGGATGAGATTCCCGGTGTCATACTGATTGAAGGACGAGGGCATCAGATCAGGGGGAAGCTGTGCATGTCCGTTGTGCATAGTAGTAGGCGCTTGCTCGAATACATCCGGTACTTGCGGGTATGTGTTTTCGGTGGGGAACGTCCACTGGAATACATCATCCATGACCGTCAGTGTTGAACTTCGAGCCTTGGGGCTGCGTCGTTCGATGTGCCGCCTCGGCATATTCTAATCTCAGCGAGTGCTGCTGTGCCATCAGAAATAAAATAAAATGCTTGACCTCAATTACAACACATTTTATTTCTCTCAAGTTCGCACAGCCTGTCACTTGTAAATTGCTTGTAGAAAATAAAATGGGCAAAATAAAATGGAATTGAGTGGGGCTATTGGTTACCACTCACTCGTGCAGTCCCACATTTCGTGCATCCTCCAAAACTACACTTTTCCTACTACAAATCTTCAAACTACTATGTCCATTTGAAATAATAATACACAAGAACATCTTACGAGCTTAGACGGATGCATTCGGACAAGAAACAAGAGAGATAAATGTTTGGTTGTGACAAAGGCTTTTGTCACTTCCATTGTCACTGCCGTCTGATGCCGTAGCGGAGTTTCAACTCAGACGCGTTGGTGGCAACGCGTCTGGACGCGTCTACTAAGGCTACCGTGTCGTTATATTGCATTATCTTATGATAGTTACAAGACACTTTCAATGCATTTTCAATGATAGACTAAGTAATGCATTTCGCCTCCTCACCTAAAATGAATTACTTCAGACCTAATGCATTTCAAAATGCTCCTTCTGGGACTGCACACTGCCAGCAGTTATGAATAGATGACGGTGCCTGCTTTCTTCCCGAGTACTATATAGTCAGCTTCACTATGCTTCTAATTGATGCTTTCCCCCACCATGTCTGCATGCTTTTCAGTCCCTCGGCTATCCATGTACTGGCCCCTGCCAAAATAGAAATGCACTTCATTGCCCAGTTTCTCCTCATTATCCTTTGCTGCCTTCCGATACTGGGGATATGACACACGGTCATCCCCATCTCACCCGGACCATGCACAACACTATGGAATCGGGTACTGTTGTTGGGTCAACTACACCATTATGTTTGTATGTTGCTTTCACGCAAAGAAGTCTACCTGATATGCTCACACCGGGAATGAAGGTCACATTTATCTTCCCTCCTGCTGCAGTTGGAAGTTCCATCTCAAGCCGCCATGGCAGTTGTGATCTCTTGTAAACATCTTGTTGACTCTGTAAGTACACAATGCTGGAAACACCACATTTTGCTCATGCACTGTCAGTGCTTTTACTGCCAGGCTCGGTATATTTCTGGACTTATTGTGCTTGTCTGTGATTCATGTAACTGACATCTTTTGAACCCTTTTGTAGCACATACTTAACTCGTATTCGGACGTGCCAATGTCCATGAGCTACGTGCTAACCTCCTGCCCCCGCTTTGAGACCCAAAATTCGATTTTGACTCCTGCATGTGCCAAGTATTAACGTCAATTTTCCTCACCCATATCAACGTGCTGAGTCCTCATTTTCAATTGTTATTGCGATTCAACTTACTGCAATGCCACTGCCCTTCCTTCAACAATATGATCGTGTATACTATTCCTACTGTATCGTTTCAACTCCTCCTGTAGACTCCTTTCCTGATGTGATCAAAGCCTGGTATTCTGAGTCTAGTATGACAGTCACCCGAGTTTTTACTGAATCTAACAACTTGACAAATGAGTCTTCAGGAAATATAGGAAAGTGTTTGAGATACAAAGCGACTATGATGAGTATCGAGTGAAATTGAAGGGGTATCTGGACCACCATCCGAAAACAAAGCTTCGTCACTTCAGATATGTACAGATACTAACTGAAAGACCCGATAAAAGAGGAGCTAACTGCACTTCTGTTTTTTATAACCCATGAGCCTTTACTCAACAACTGGTGAAGTTCGAGAAAACTCACTTGTTAGCTTGTGGATTGGCGGGCTTGGCCTTACGCTTCGTAGGCGTGAAATTAGATCCATCATTTTCTTTACCCCTTGTAACTCCTGCTCCAGCGCAGATACGTGCATTCGATGACCCAATGTCATTGAGTGCCTGTTCACGTTTTGATGGGACGTGTTGGCGTGTGGTATGGCGAGGTCCTTTTGGCTGCTCGGCAGCCAAAGAAGCGAGACAACCAGATGTGCTAGTCGCAGTTCCAGTGGCAGTTCCACCAGCCGTCCCGTTTGGAAGTGATGGCGATAGAATCTGAGGAACTGTTGTTTGTGGCTGGGGGGTAGCTGCCTGTGGCATGTCTGGAACTGCTGGCAGACAAGGCAGCTCATCAGGGAGTACTGCACCAGAAGGCACAATGGGAGGTGGAATAATGGGCTCTGAGAGTGCTCTGTTGTCACTATGTGAGAAGTCTAAGCCTTGAGACAAATAAGCGAGCTTGTCATCGTATATGTAGTCTGAATCAAGGTCTTGTATAGGCAATGAATTGCTGAGAACAGATGCAGAAGCAGGGTATTCATATGGTATATCATTCGAAGAAGGAAAATAGGTATCACCACTATGATCAATGACATACGGGACTGACAGCATAGCAATCATATGTAAAAATTCATCCATACCAAGAACTGAGGGGTCAAAGTCATCAAAAAGGAGCGGCTCAGACTCGGTGTGAAGGTGGTCATTGAACCATTCTCCGGTAGTTGTTGGAGTACCAGTACCAGTACCCGGGTCAACATCGGGTATGGCTTGCAGCGTCGCTAGGCAGTCCTGAGTGATGCATTACATGAAATGCATTATGTATTAGCAAAATGCAATTAATGCATCATGAACTCGTACCTGGGGTATATGATCAGTAAGGTCACTTGTGTGTCCATCCTCATCATTATGGATGTTCCCGTTGTTGTCTTCAAAGTTCCACTCTAAGTCATCTGCATCCTTGCTGACTGTTAGGGCCTCCAACTCGGAGTCACTCATGAGCAATTGCATCTTGTCATCGTGAGCTAGCGAACGGTGAGCAATTCTCCTGCCAGTGAAGACTTATGAAAATACATACCAACAGCATCCTTCACAAAATCCGCATAGGCAACTTGAACATCCGAGAACCCAGGATAGCAGGCTGAGAATTCTGCACCTGTGCCTGTTTCTCCCAAGTGGAAACTGCGTGGATCCATTATTACAGTATGTGATCATGAGAATTGTGAGATTTACTTGACTACCACAACCTCTCCTGTACGAGGGTCACGTCCACCTGCAATGCAAGTAAATTTCAGTCCCCCTGTCTTGTAGGATAGATGATGGAATATTTGGTCCAGATGCGACCCCAGTTCATTGAAAGCTCTACGGCTTCCGTTAGAACATGAAATAATAAAATCATGGTACGTACCATATTTTTGCATCATCATCGATTTCTTCAACTGACCCTGCTTTGGCCAGCTCATGATCATGCTTCCACTTTGTGAGTATCTCTGCATGCTTTTCCTTAACCTTGGTGTGTATGCCATCATCCTCTGTTGCATATATGATGCGAGTGACCTCCTTCCATTTGGACAGCTTCACACCACGTGAAGAAATCCCCTCTGCTGTAATTACAGTGTCGGCGGTGGCCTTCACGTGTGCATTATAGTGGTATTGTGAGTAGACTTCAACTTCTTGTGGGGCCCGAGACCCTCCGAGCCCACTTGCCCCCCCTCCAAGTGTGTCATCAAGGTTGAGTACACCACGGGAGTTACATGAACGCGCAAGACGTGCCATATTCACCTGCCAGCTAAACCAACGCTTGATGACCTATGGTAATTTTTGCATCAAATTTTGATCTACATGTGTGCTGATTTGACTCACCTGCTTATGCTTTGTGATAGCCTGACCAACAATCTCTCTTTGATGAGGAGTAAGGTCTTCTTCTGCAGGGATACCCGAGTTAGGGTCGCAGTGTAGACGCATGCACTCGGGCCACTTGTTGAAAAATGCACGCAAGGTATTGATCCAAAAATTGGCGTATGCTTTCTGATACCGACATTTTCTATACTCAGGCAATAGAGCTTTGAGGAACGCTTCCTCTTCCACAGTAGCCCACGACTTTGGACCACGATGAACCATGATATACTGAGCAGAAGTGAATGGGAGGAAAGTAGAGAGAGAGAAAACTCCTCCAGCACTTTTGTTGTATTGGGCCAGCCCAGACCGTCAGATGGATGCAAATATGGTTGTAGGTCATCTATGTCCCGCTGACACAATTCGGTAGCATCTACAGTTCATGTAAAGTGATTTTTTTTCATTTTTAAATAATGTCTTATCAATTCTACAATTTGTAAATACATGCGTGTTTGAGGGGTGCATCCTAACCCATGCAACATGTCTCATCTCTATTCCTCCTGACTCCAATCACCCTAAGGGTCGTCTGTGCAACAAGGATCCCTTTCAGCCCATCAGCATGCAACCATGGTGAAGAGGTTAAGCTATTACCGGACTTCCAAATAGCTTATATTAATTGAGTCCAAGTCCAAGCTTCAGAGAAAAGCATCCCGTGCATGTCATTGAGGATGACCTTTTGATAGTTATATTGTTACTCACCAACTTAATAAAAACTTGACTTCATGGGGTTTCGATCATTACATGCTGGACGATATATGCACACAAAACCACCATTCAGTTTTCAAAATAATATATGACAAGAGCTCCGATCACCTTCAGACATTTGCTACTGCGAATTGAATAGCGTTCGAATGTCTTGGCCAGTTTGCACCCTTGCAAATGGACATGTTACATTGTATTGCACACACAGCGTGTACTTTGATGGTGGAGCAAAGCGATCGAAATTGGCAGAGCAAATTTGCAAGAGTGGGGCAAATCACAGATCTAGAGTGAAGTGATTGAAAGAGTGGGGCAAAGCACTGATCTACATATGGGAGAAGTAGAATATGTAGTGCTGAACATCAATAAGGTGTTCAAATATGTACTATGAATATACCTAAGTGAAGGGAACATGAAAGGAGGACCTCAGGACCGCAAAAATGCGTCCAAGGCAGTGGTTGGCTAGAAACTAAAACAAACACCCACCAACGAGAGGAGGATATATGCGGTGTTGGAGGAGTGTAGTACAACCCTGACTGAGTCCTATGAATCACCACACCCAGTAACAAAATGGCTGGATGGGATACAATAGTCAGAATGACATAAAATCCCCAAAACTAAGTAAGAACTTAACATGGAGACCAAGGCACAATACAGATGTATAGAAATAGTGCAGAACATGTCCATGAAACACCAGCAGCAGTAAAAATGAGGAAGAGAATAAGTAAGAAACACGTGTGGTCAAAAAAGCGAACCAAGACTTACCATGCCAGGAGAGTGGTGTTTATTAGAAGCACCGAAGCCAGTGAGGCCATAAAACAATACATGTTGCCTTGAGGGTGTCCTTATATCAATTAAAAAGAGCTGTAATAAAGAATGAGATGAGCTATTCAGAAAACATGTGAACAGAGGTCATAACCACTCACTTTGCCAATACAGAGGTCATCTGATGCATATTGACCCCAAAAGGTCTGGGAATGGTAGAGAGTACCCAGAAGTGTTGATACAGTGACTTTCAGGACATTGGTAGGTTGTGGTTGAGGTATAGGATGAAAGCAATGGATTATTGCATGTGTTGAAGTTTGCAGTGACTGACTCTGACATTAATGATCATGTACATATATGGCGATCAGCTATATGACACACTCAGGCTTTTGTGAGATTGGCTGGCAAAGTTTGCAAGTGTTCTTGCAACTATCAGGTGTGACAGCATAAGGTTTAGACGGTCTCCCAGCAGAGCATGGTACAGAAGAAGGTATGTGGATAAACGCAGATCCTATTCCCAACTACATCATTTGTACTAGTATCGGCGAGAGTACAGGTATGTTGGTGTTTCAAGCATCCTCCGAGTCGCTAGCTAATGTAAATCATTCAACGTAGGAGATCTGGGCAAAAAGATTGTATAAATATAGCACGTTGCACAGAGGATTGAGCAACTGGTACTAGGTGTTCAACTTGTGCAGCGCTTTGTTGAGCTACCCCTAACCAATTTGCATAACATCCCACCTGCTGTTCCCCAGCTCTGCATCTTTTGCCTTCCCAAGACAAAGACCTGCCTCCAAACAGAGGGCAGACCTACAAAACTGTTGCCCTGTGCTACTTAACCGCTTTGTCCTCCTCCTCGTTTATCAAGCATTCTCATTCATTATCCTGCAGGACTTTCCCCTAGATATAGGGCCACATATACCACATATACTAAATGTATGCCCCTTCTTCACTCTTTTTTTCACCAGTGTGACTCGTCTAGGCAGCGCTACAATCAATCAAGACATAATCAGGCCCTCACAACAGATAACACCATTGTCATGACCATAGGATGGCTGCCAACACTCTGTCTCCCCATATCGTCTTGGAGTGCAATCCAAGTACAGTATCCTGCCGCGATCAACATGTTGTTCAACAGGTATATGCTGGAGGTATGCTGCTGTCGGCCACTTGTGCAGTCCCTCCCTCTGGGCATTCTGATGCTAAATGGTGTGCTGATATTCATGCAGGTGTGGTCAAAGCAATGCAGCCGCCATTGGCCATTCTGCAAATGCGCATCCGTCTTCTGGTTGTTGGGAAGATTCCACCCCCAAGTTCGCCAACTGTAGTGCAGTAGTCCTCCCCCTTGTGCTGCTTCCACGAATGGAGTCAATGGAAACCATGCTGGCACTCCTACATCAGGTAGTGTGCTCTCTCTGACTTCTTGTACCTCACTGTTTCTCATCTTAATCATCTGCTAGCATCCCAGTGCTACAGTGTCAATGGGAACAAGTGCGGGCCTAGCATGGGCCCAAACGAGTGTAGCCTGGAATGGACAGCAGCACAAGCTTGAACCTTCGGTGTTGCAATGCCAAAATCTCACTTCAGCTACTTCACAAACTCAAGACTCAGAGCCTCACTAATGTCCATAGATGTGCGAGATAATTGTGGTCACTACTGCTAATGGAACAAATTGTAGCTAATTTTTGTTTTCCAATAGCTGCGGGAATTTCACTATCTCTCCTCTTTCAATTGCCCTCCTGACTGCCCTCTCCCCGTCTTCAATTGAGTTGACTTCAACATATACAGCATTTTCAATACCTTCAACCATGGTTTCAACGACATGCCTGAAAAGAGACAGATAACCTGATGCCAAGACTTAGATACAACCTGCAATCTTACCATCTGCTGAAAAACTCCGATGTAATGCCCCCAAGTCACGCAGAAGAATGGTGGATTAACTCCAAGCTGGGCACTCTTAGCTGGCACATTGTACAATGTGCCATGATGGTAGTATATCATACATTCATCTGCCATCGCATCAGCGACTGAGTGCATATAGTTGTTCGTCCTCGTAGACCTCAACATATTCTACATCTGTGTCAGATGTAAAAGACAGTGTCAAGAATATATAGATTGAATCCAATACATTATCCTGAACATCAGCGATGGTAGGCAGTGCAGGTACACCTAAAACAGTGAGATCATGAACCATTGACAAGTATTCCAATTGCAGAGGTGAGAACACACACTGATATTGATCTCCTGATGAACGTCAGTGACAACACACGGTGGCGCAGATGATACACCTGAAACAGTGAGATGACAGGCACGTCAATTATGGAGGGGAGCACAATTAACAGGTATCCCAATCACAAAGGCAAAAGCATGCACCAATATCAACCTCCTGACAAATGTCAGTGACGACACATTGTGCCGCACATGATGTACTACCTGCCAGTGAAACAGTGAGATGATATGCACGTCAATTACGGAGGAGAGCACAATCAACAGGTATCTCAATTGCAGAGGGTAAAAGCACACACCAATATTGATCTCCTGAAGAACGTCAGCAACGCACGATGGTGCAGACAACACACCTGAAACAGTGAGATATGGGTGCATCAATTACGGAGGAGAGCATACCAATAGCAGGTGGTGCAGGTGGTGCAGGTACCAAGGAGGACTCAGACAGGGTTTGAGCCATGAACAGAGGCACTGGTGGTGATTGTGAAGCCAGGGGTTCAAAGCGAGGCATGTTGTTATGTCCCGGTGACCATTTCCAACAGGCTTTAAATAAGGGAGCCAAACTGGCTGTTTTGAGGCAAGCACATGTCAAGTAATGCATGACGTGAGGGACCTAATGCATTTTATCCAGTTACATGCAGAAGCTGTGAAGTAAATATGTACTCGCCTGATGTACTCCTGGTAGTTGGAATTGCATTTCATGGACTTAATTGCATAATACCATCATGTGAGGTCAGTAGAATTCCTGCTCCCAAGACAACCGCACTGTTTGCCCTGGGCAAGACGGCCGTCACAGCTGTGAGGAGCAAAGACAACTCTATGACCAGTGTTGCGCAACAAACTTACCATTGGTATTTTTACCAACAATGCTGCATAATGAACAAGATGAGGTTATCGCACTTGAGAAATAATTCAGTTAAGGCCGCACTGACAGCACGGTGAACTTCAGCACCATGTCGCGCGGAAGTTGCAAACGAGTCAAGCTCAATATATACAGACCTACCAACCCTAACACCCCAAGTGTCCATGCATCATATACATTTGTTTCACGGAGTCGAGGACTAACCGCACAAAGTTCGCAAATTCTTGGTTCGCAGCCCTCTGAGTCATCAGAACAGCAGGTTGATAGTGGCAGGGTAGAAGAAGAACCAACCTTAGATCATGGTGACTACTCCTTGGAAGTGCAGGAACCTGATTTCGAGGTTGAAGCTGAAGCTGCTAATATTAATGAACGGAATCATACAGCGGGTGTAAGTATTTCTTGATGTACGATATGTCTAAATTCATTCACCCATCTAATCAGGACCATCCGCTGTTGAAATGGACAGAAGACCGGGACCTTTTTCTGCAGGAGCTCCTATGACATGAGGGCCGTGGGGATTATATGCACGACACTGTCTGCAGGAGTTGTCACTCTGGCGCTCCACAGTTTTGCTGCAGGGACTGCTTTGGCACCGAGTTGTGCTGCCATAGTTGCGTTGTGGCTTCACACGCTAACAATCCAGCGCATCGAATTCAGGTAAGGGTCCCATATAGCTGTTGCCTTAGATTCAACGTCTCATTACAGGAGTGGATGGGCATTTACTTTGTGCCTGTCTTGCTGAAGAAACTGGGGTTGCACGTGCAACTCGGTTATCCAGCAGGTGAACACTGCTTGCTGCCTCAAAAGGCATTCAACAATGATTTTACTCTCATTGATACCAACAGTATACATGAGATCAGCCTTGACTATTGTGGCTGCGAGACTGCTGAGAGGCATGTCAAGCAGTTGCTTCGGACAGCTTGGTTTCCAGCTACATCAACTGATCCACGCACTGCAGCTACTTTCACCATCCTCGAACAATATCACTTGCTATCATTTGAATCTAAAGCATCAGGGTATGAGTTTTACCACTCCCTTGCTCGTCTGACCAATAATACAGGACTACGACCTTGAAAGGTGTGTTTAACATGTCAATGTAGTATTTATCTTACCTGCTTCACTAGGATCATTACGAGGCATTTATGCGTATTGTCCGCGAGTGGCGACATCTTAAGATGCTCAAGCAAGCAGGCCGAGGTTATGACCCCACTGGTGTGGGGAATACTAAGAGTGGTGAATGCGCCGTGCTGTGCCCAGCCTGTCCGCAACCTGGTCGAAACCTTCCTGACAAGTGGGAAGAGGCACTGAAAGAAATAAGGTACGGACAATTTCTATCTACACCAATCCAGGTAGCTGATGATGATTTAGCTGGTTATATGGTCTTTTTTTAGCCATTGATGCCAATTTTCGACTCAAACGATGTATAGTGTCAAAGGACACTACAGACCCCAGCCTTAGTCGCGGTTGGGCGTATTGCATGGAGGAGTGTTAGGTACCGTGCCAGCTCAAGAGGCAGAGGGGTTGGGGCTTGGCTTCAACTCTTGCGCTGCGCCCTTAGCCAAGTATGTGCCCCGAATTTGGAGTGGGTCCGACGTAGTCCAATAGTAGGACGAGTGGACCGCTTGGGTCCGCTTTGAGGGTCGGGGAGTAAGAGCTGCTAGCGGCAGACCGACTAGGAGTGGAGCAGAGAAGGCGGGGAACGATGCAGAGGGTGGATAGGAACCAGGGAGATATTTTGATAGGAGCAGAGATGGCAGAGGATAATGCAGAGGATAGGAAAAGAGGTGATATGGGGATATTGATAGGGGCAGGGTAATAAGGGAAAGACTTAGAGCATGGCTCTAAGTCGGAGCGGAGGGTCAGAGGATCAGAGGTGACAACAAGTTGAGACTTGTGTCCAGAGGAGGCAAGGTCCTACTGAGAATTCTCACAAGATGTAACTGCAAGAAGACAAGTAATATTAAGACTAAGGAAAAATATCTAAGTACATGATATGTTATATACTACTATGTATGAGGCAGTGATCAGGATAACTATGCAGTAAGGCTATGTACCAAGGATATAGTTTGTAAGTATTTTACATAGGCAAAGACATAAGTCGGAGCGGATATCAATATGTACGCATCGGATCAGCAATTGAGCGGTAATAGGAATTACCGGTGATCCGGAAGTGAGGGTCTATGTACTGAAAAGGAAAGCATATACCTAAAGGGGAAAGAGGTCCAGTTGAATGGAGAGATTATGGAAGGGGACCGGTTGAGCGGTTGAGCGGACGCGCAGGGCGGAATGCGGACTTGTGATAGGACAGAGCGGAGGATGAATGGGGCGGAGGGGTTGGAAAGTGGAGCGGATATTAATATCAGAGCGGTCGGATCAGGTATATGACAAGGAGACCGCATACAAGACATATCTACAATCTCATGATGGTACATTACAACAGGTGAAGTTTTATTATACAAGCCTGCCGTGAATCACTCTGATGAGCTGTTATGCTAGAAAAGCACATGTTCGTCGCACAATGCAGTAAACATGGCGGACACGAAGGTGTCTCAGGGCCTAGCTGCAACTGGAGTCGGTACCATTGATTGCGCATGACATAATATGAAACTACCTAATGGAGTCGGTGATCTTCAAAAAGGTGAAAGGCACGTACAACAGGTTGCGAAAGGAGACTGGCACTGACTGGTAGATATAGGTACACTAATATGGATTTTCTATTCTTTTCAACTCTCCGTGGGCGTGACGTCAACACTGCTCAATATTTTGTATGATATTGCCTGCCAGTGGCACAAGAATCTCTGGGAGAGAATGTCAGCTATGCCTTCTGAACTTCATCTCAACCATTCCGCGAAGTTCATAAGGTTCTTCGTGCCAAAATTCCATCTACCGGTGCACGTTCTCAAGTGTCAAACTATGTTCTCTTTCAATTTCTTGAAGAATGTTGGATGCACAGATGGGGAAGCTCCCGAGCGAGGTTGGTCAAATATTAACCCAGTCGCCTCCAGCACAAAAGAAATGGGACCCGGCTCGCGTAGAAACACGCTAGATGATCATTTCAGCGACTGGAATTGGAAAAAGGTTGTAGGACTTGGTTAGTATTTGGCAGTGAGTATGTACTATGTACAGTCACATATCTAATCCACAACAGGCACAACACTCCTTCGCAAGATGGATGAGGCCAAAGAGGAAAGAGATGTGCACCAGATGGCATTTGAAGAACTCAACAGAGCTTTGAAGTTTGAGACAATAGAGCCATGGAGGATCGAAATCGAACTGCTGGGAGGACAATCCGAATGATTTATCGGTCACTAATCCCTTTGAAGCTAAGGTTATTCGTGAGTAACACAATACTCCATCCAATCACAAGACTGAGTGTTTGATTTGAAAGCTATCACACAAGCCGCGGTTCGACTCAAACTCGCCCAACTGGAGGCAGCTGAACTACAGCAAGGAATGGATGTTTCATTGCATGCTGATGTTTCTCCAAGCATATTCATTGCATCGGGGATCGACCTGGAGAATGAACAGTATGTAGTATGATCTGACTTAATTTTCGTTCTACTTCATTCACTTCTTCATGAACAGGCGTTGTCTTAAACAGACATCGGGAAACAGGGTCTGCATGCCACAGATATTCAAAAGGGCACAGTCCAACGACTGCAGAATGCATTACAATGCAAAATCGACACTTGGAAGCGCATCCAAATTCTTTACACCCCCGCAGTACAGCTCATAGAGTCAAGGGTCGAATTGCCTTCCCACAGCACCCTGGGCATGATCAATCCCGAGGATTCCCAGCTCTGGCTCCCATCCGCTCTGTGCAGTAACCCCATACCTTGCAATGCACGACTCCTTGTGACCGAGTGGGAATTACGACACGCTCAGGCTGGGGACACTCTTGAAGAAATGAGACAGAGTCTTTGCCTGTGGGACTACATGTACACCTTCAAACGGGACTGGATACATGGCCAAAGCGCAAACACTTGAGCCCAGAATGCCCTCAGTCATGTTGAAGCCAGGGCATCAGCCACAGCAGATAAGTACCGTGCGGCTTGTACGGCGCTCTCATCTCTTGCCCACATGCTTGGAAAGGTTGGGTGGGATCACAAATATAAGGTTCTCGAGAGGAAGGATGACATCCGTGGGATGTCAGTTCCGAAGTGAGGGGAAAGTGAAGGTCGAAGACAGTTATTGTGGATTTGGCTGGTTGAAGGAGTCGGGGATGGTGAAGATGAAGTCGTACAAGATAGTAAGCTGGAGTGTGAGTTGTGACGGACAGACACTGAATATGCTGGCAGGTCTCAGAGTCGAATGGTGCAAAGCTCGTGTGAGGTCCATGCAATGGGCCAAAGAAGTTAAGCTGCTCCAGGAGGAGATGCGCCGAGTGTCTTGCTTTCTTAGGTGGCACGCATCATGGTGGAACAAGAAGACTTCAGAATGCACGCTTGGCACCGCTGCTGATAATGAGGGTCTAGGTGCCTACGCCTATCGTCAGGCTCAGCTTAGGGATGATCTCACCAATTGTTTTGAGAACAAGTGGGCCGCATATCTCTCACTGACTACGGCCTATAATACGATGTATCCGGTGGATAGTGCATCCGAGACTATGATGGCTAATGAAGCCGAGTTAGATCTCTACCTCCCAGAATTGCCGCTTCCTTAATATCCTATCTTGTATCCCATGTGCTGCCGTCTTCGGCTTGTAGTATTAATCGAGATTGCTTTTATTGAATGTACTTATGACTCGTGTGATTATCATCTTCTGGCTCTTGTAGTTATCATGAGATAATGCATTTATTTGTCTTGTAGTTACAACTGTTAATGCAATGCAACTCACTTGTAACTACAACAGATAATGCATTACTCCCCCACAAAGTTGTGGTCTACTTGCTGCATGGATGGCGCGCACTCGAGTTGGTGGGAAGCGGAAAGGTCCCCGAGATCCCACCAAAGAGGCTCGCATTCAAGCCGCCATCCAGGATACCTTGACTGGTGTTCATGGCAGTTTTCGCAGTACTGCCATAGCTCACAATGTAAGCACTCCCTCAATAATTTTATCACAACTCAATTTTCCTTCAGGTACCCCCACAGACTGTGCGAGATCGTGCAGCAGGCAAATACCGTACTCAACGCTCATTCCTCAATGAATCCCAAGAAAAAGTACTGGTGGACTGGTGCCACCATAACTCGGATTCAGCAACCCCTCTACATCCTCGAAAACTCCGTGCTCGAATACTGGAGATGGTGAAAGTTTACCCTGGCAAGAATTGGGTCCGCCGCTTCCTTTCTCGTCATGCAGAAATCATTGTTGCAAAACCCTGAGGCCTGGATCTGAAATGTGCACAAAATTTCAACAAGGCAACAATCATGGAGTATTTTGATATGTGCAAGACCATGGATGAAAAGTATGATGGAATTCCGCCAGAACACAACTGGAATGTTGACGAGAAGGGGTGTCAGATGGGAGGTGGCCGAAAGGGAGATAGTTCGAAATTTATCTTCTCAAAAAACAACTGAGAATGCTACCGTATCCACAGTGATAATTTAGAGCTGGTGACGATAATTGAATGTGTTTTGGCCGCTGACGATTCTATTCCTCCATCCTTTGTTTTGGCTGATGGCCCCCTTAATACTGAATACCTGAAATATTGAAGGGATCGGAGGGTCAGTTCCAGAGCAAATTCTGGATGTTAGCTCTATTGATTCAGATAAATACAGGATTGCAACTTCTCCGACAGGTTGGATTGATCAAGAACTGTTTGCGGCATGGTTGAAACACACCTTTGCTCCTGAGGCGAAAAAACGGCACATCAATGACAAGCCCATTGTTCTCAACCTTGATGGGCATAATTCTCATGAAACGGATACACTCAAGGGAATTGCATATGACAATGACATCATTGTGTTCAGTTTTCCATCCAAAACAACGAACAAAACACAACCACTAGATGTGGGCGTGTTTTCAGCACTCTCAAGGAAGTGGACCTCGCATGTTGACCAATGCCTTGCAGAAGGCACCGTCATTGATTGTTATAATTTTTTCTTCGAGTACATGAAAGTCCGCACAGTCATCACTCCCCTCTTGATACAGAAGGCATTCCGGAAGACAGGAATTCACCCTCTCAACCCATCTGTGTTTTCCGAAGCAGACTTCACTCCAAGTCAGTCGACATCTACAGTTGCTCACATGCCCCCTTCATATCCAGCCGAAACTCCATCCTCACCAATATCAGCCTACTCGGATGACTTCTCATCTGATGACAGTGATATGAGTGACACAGACTACCACCCCAGCATGGACGAATCGGATTCTCAAGATACCAGCTCGGACTCAGAGGAATTCACGAGCGCAGCACAGCATCTGTCATTGCCTGTCGCAGGCTCATCTCAGCTTCCACCCAACACTTCAACTTCCATGATCACACGCTCATCTGCCCCTGCAGCATCTCAAGCTCTCGTACGTCCGATGTCACATTTCCAAGCCATGGCGTCAAGCAAGGAGGAACTGTGGGAACACATCCAGCAACTTTACGCTGAAAATCAAACACTCACAGAGGCCAGTTGCTATGCAGACTGCGCAGGTCGATGCTGTGAACACTCATTGTACTATTGCGCAGTGTGAAAATCAAGATTGGCAGGTGAAAGCTGAAACTGAGAGGAGAAAGAAAACTCACACAACGACAAAGGTCAAAGCTCGCTATGTTACAGCTTGGGAGTTCAAAAAGTCATTTGAAGCAGGTGCTGATGCGAGGAAAGCGAAAGAAAGGCTTGAGAAGGACAAAAAGGACAAGAAAAAGTTGGATGAAGAAGCTATGGAGTGTTCAAGAAAGCACTTTGACCATGGGAACTTTGTAGATAAATATCTGCCCGGTGCCCGGTGCTTGGTGCTCGGTGCTTGGTGCTCGGTAGTCAGGTGCTCGGTGCTCGGTAGTTCGGTGTTCAGTGCTCGGTACTCAATATTGTAGACCGTGGGAACTTTTTCAATGAAAACTAAAGTTGTAGCCCTTGTCTAGGGGAGTCTATCCATAGTCTCATGACATCAATAGGTTAAGATCCTAGTAAGATATAAGCAAAATACTTGCAAATGGAGTGTTCAAGAAAGCACTTTGACCATGGGAACTTTTTAGATAAATATCTGCCCGGTGCTCGGTGCTCGGTGCTCGGTAGTTGGTGCTTGGTAGTCAGTGCTCAGTGCTCGGTACTCGGTGCTCGGTGCTCGGTACTCGATATTGTAGACCGTGGGAACTTTTTCGATGAAAACCACTGTTATAGCCCTTGTCTAGGGGAGTCTATCCATAGTCTCATGACATCAATAGGTTAAGATCTACCAATATATTCAGCATCAAGTATCAAGTACTAGGAACTGAGTGCCAAGTACCGAGTACTGAGTTTTGAGTATCAAGTAGGTACCGAGTACCAAGTATTCAGTGCTTGGAGCTTTCAATGGCAGGGATGGAGCCCACACCCTCGAAAATTGTGGATCCCTCTGCCATTGAGGGTCTCATATTTGAGCTGAGCCAAGTTCAACTAGCCCTGGACCCATCACCTACTCCCCCAACTGCTGGAGACATTGTGGTGCCAGATGATCCATGCAACCTTTTCCCATAATACAATTCTGCTGATGACATGGATGTTGAGGTCAAGGTTGAAGTTGAAGGTGGTGATGAGGGTCATCTGGGTGAGGTTGAAATGTCTACATAATTTGGAAATCATTGAGTTCTGGGTAACATCTATCGACATCCGGGTAACTAATATTGAGTTCCAGGTATTTCATAAATTGAACAAATCACCAAGTACCGAGTACCAAGTTCCAGACACCAAGTTCTGGGCATTGAGTTCCAGGCATTGAGCACCGAAACACGAAACTAAAATAAAACATTTCATAAATTGAACAAATCACCAAGTACCGAGTGCTGAGTGCCAGGTTTCAGCACTCGGTACTTGATGCCCGGAACTTGGAACTCGGCACTCGGTGCCCAGAACTCGGTACTCGGTACTTGGTGATTTGTTCAATTTATGAAATACCCGGAACTCAATATTAGTTACCTGGATGTCAATATTTGTTACCCGGAACTCGATAGACGTTACCTGGAACTCGATAGATGTTACCCAGAACTCGGTACTCGGTACTTATACCAATACCTAGGCCTATCTGTCTATATGATACGTATCTGGGCCCACCCGTCTGTCTAATATTACCCGACGTCGGCCCACCCGTCTAGGTAAAATTCCCCACTTTGGCCCACCCATCTATGTAATATTTCCTTTCCCTATGTCGGCCCACCCGTCTATGTAATAAATAATTCACCTCACCCTCGGCCCACCCGTCTATCTAATATTAACCCACATTGGCCCACCCGTCTATATAATAAATATTTCACCTCACCCTCAGCCCACCTGTCTATCTAATATACCCCTACGTCGGCCCACCTGTCTATGTAATAAATAATTCGCCTCACCCTCGGCCCACCCGTCTACCTAATAATACCCCACGTCGGCCCACCCGTCTAAGTAAAATACCCCACATCGGCCCACCCGTCTATCTAATATTTCCCTACATCGGCCTACCCATCTATGTAATAAATATTCCACCGCTCCCTCGGCCCATCCATCTACAAAATAATACTAATACGTCGGCCCACCTGTCTATATAATAATATTTGCTATACATCTCTCCTCAGGTCTATAATATTTGTCAATCCTACTCTACATATTACCCACATGGGCCCACCCATCTCCATAATAATATTTCTCCCGGCCCATCCACCATCGTCGATGATATATATAACATCAGCATAGATGGGCCCACCCGTCAACATTGGAAATAATATTTCTCCTGGCCCACCCGTCAACATCGGGAATATACATAACATCAGCCCATAATCCGCTGGCCCGTATTACACAGGATATTATGTAGGTCGGGTGACCCGTATAGTACGGGATTTGTCACTGAAGGGGCTCATACAACTTACTATATAAATGCCAGCAGTAGCACGAGCGCATCTCAGCTTCTTTCAAGAGACTGAGATGTGAGTTATTAGTATCGTTATATTGATTAGAAAACTAAACTAACAAGTCATTAGTATACTTGTTTTATTAGGTACATAGCTCGTTATATGAGCTTCTTTCAAGAGACTGAGATTATACTTGTTTTATTAGCATGCGGTCAGCTCCCACTCGTTATTACTCACCACAGGTTATGAGCCCTGTCTTGACCATGGATACTTCACTCCCCAGCTTCAACACAACCCTGCTTAACATCCCGAAGCTTGCCAAAGACGGCTCAAACTGGATAACCTACAAGGAACGGACGTTAACAGCCATAGGGGCAAGAGGTCTGATGCGGTATACCGACAGTCGAGCAAGTGAACTGAAACCCTTCATGATTGACCTGAATACAAAGGCCGTCGTGAAGCCAGATGGGACGACCCCAACGCAGGCGGACTACAATGATCTCAATAAGAGAATTGACGAGTACCACCAGAAGAACTTGCTGGTAAAACAGCAGATATTCAGCACCATCACCGATCAGCTGCTGTTACGTGTCCAGAAGCTAAAAGACACATCCAAGATCTGGGAAGAAATATGTCAGATCCATGAGGGAAAGACGGAGCTTGTGCAAATAGACTTATGACGTTGAATGCAGAAGACCAAGTGCAACGAGGGAGGAGATGTTAGATCCCACTTCGCCGACCTCATGAGGCTCCGTGAATTGCTTGCAGGCATGGGCGTAGCGATCGCTGATACCGATTTCCATGCCATTATCCTCAGCTCTCTCCCTGAATCATACCGCCCACTCCTATCCTCCATCACTGCAGCTGCAAAGATCACGAAAACCCCCATCACCTCCTACGAATTAGTCACCATTATAACTGAAGAGTACGAACATCAGCAGCTCACCGATCGATGCCCTGGCAAGAAGGGAGCTAGCGCTGCTCTCGCTGCAAAGGAGACAAGAGGAAAAGGGCGTGCCTCACCTTCCTCCACCAATAAGATGAACCCTGACGTCACCTGTTTTAACTGCGACCACAAGGGTCATTATAAAACAGATTGTTGGAGGCCTGGAGGGGGAAAAGAGGGTCAAGGCCCCAACGAGCAGAAGAAGAGAGGGGAGAAACAACCTAAGCAGGCAGCGAATTCAGTGGCAGAAACTGAGCCGCAGGACCAATACGCCTTTGTCACCTCAGACTTGGCCAGTGTAGTGAGGGATTTGGGCCTACCCATCAAGAAGAGAGGAGCGATCGTGGACTTGGGTGCAACGTCGCACTTCTGCCCAGATCGATCAAAGTTTAACAACTTCATCAGCATTGCTCCCTAAGACG